GACAATCAGTATCAGACTCTCCCACCTGCAGAGACAGAGGAGGAGGAAGACAATCAGGTGTCTGCCTTCAACCAATCAGAACAAAGTATACTCAGACAGAAGTTCACTTACCACAAAATCTTTTCATCATAAATAAACTGAAAAAAAAAAGTTCAGAGTCTGTGTAAATATTCATTGAGTGCCAGCAGATTTTCAGTGCATGTCTTTACTACATGCTACGTGTATAGAGATTATCAGTGACAACCCAGTATTTTTTCATGCATTTCCTTCACAGATATTAAAAAAAGGTGTTTAATAAAGACTTGAACCAAACCAACGAGGCCTAACATGAACAAACTTAGATTTAGCTTTTGTTGTTGCTGTTGTTTTTAAAAGAGAGAGAGACGAAGATACTAGTATTTGTCTTTATATCTGTGTACTTAAGTCTATTATATGAGCACTGCAAATCTGAAACTACAACACAAAATAAAGCAATACAGTAATCGATTAAAAAAATATTCCATATTTGAAGCTTATTGCACAATACTTAAGTGGGATCTTTTGACTTAGTTGCTGGAGAGTTCTTGGTGGTTACTGGCCCATTTAGAAATACTCTACTCCATAATGGCAGCAACTTCAAGCATTACTGACTTTTCTTCATAAAAGCTTCTAAACCATTGTTTAACATCCTCAAAGCTCATGGTGCATCTGTCTTGATAGGTTTGTTTTTATGTTATTGCTAATTATCAGTTCCTTTGTAGAGAAAGTTAATGGGACTTTTACTTTCAGAACCTTCTCTATTTTGCCACTTAATTACCAGAGCTCATTAGATTAACGACACTTACTGCAATAAGGGCAACCACAGATAAAATGTAGTAGATTGAGTCTCTGAACACGGAAAACTTGGTGAGAAAAACAACCTAGTGAGAAAACAGAAGAGCTTTGTAAACAGAAGTCAACAAAAGCAACTATTTTTTTCTTTGTTAAATTTATCATGTCCACTGTACCCTCAAGTTATGCCACAAGCTACAACAAAAAAGGTTTTATTTCTCAAAAGACAAAAATATCACAGCAATGTGCTTTTAAAAAGGTCATTCTTGAACCTCATTACAGTAACCAAAGTATTTGCCTGTAAATCTTGTATTTAAAGTGGTAGAACTTTAACATTGGATTTGAAATGGAATATTTAAAAAATAAACCACTGTTTGAAATGAGAGTAAAAGGGGGAAAAAGCAAGCCTGAAGAGTAATTTCCACATTGCAATGCCCAGATGAAAACATGAAAAGGTCAAGAGTGGCAGGCAGCTTCAAAGGAGGCAAGCTGTAATATAGAGCACAGAGAGTTTCCCACCTGCCCCGCAAATATCCCACACACACCAATGATGCACAGGATGTTGAACACGGCTGAGCCTACTATGGTACCCACCCCCACGTCTCCATGTGTTATGAACACACCTGCAAAACAAAGCAAGAGGGTTCTGATCCACAGCATCTGTTAACACATGACTAATGCATATATAAGCACCTGTATGTGTGGCTTACCAATTATAGAGGCAAACAGCTCGGGGGCGGAGCT